AACCGATCTTACCAACTAATGAGGCTATTTTTTAAAAGGTAGGAAAGAAAATGACTTCTATACTTTTAGAATTTGCCCAAAATTTAGGAGGTCTTTAGACCAAGCAACTATATTAGTAAAAAAATATTTATTTAAGCTTTTAAAATCATGTGATTTTATGTGGGCCATACTGCAACAAAATCAGAAAGAAATCTCAAGGGTTAATGTCACTAATAATTTTTTTTTAAGTTGAATATATTTTTTATTTTTAAAATTATTTTTGAATAATATTATTAGTTTCCATTTTTTATTGGTGTGCTCAAATCTTCACATAAACATCACCACTATTAGTATTACCGTAAAGTCTGGAAAGATAGCACCCCCTACTTTAAAACAATTGAGCGTCAATATAAAAAAAATGTTACACGTATGTAAAAAGGGGATGCTATCTTTCCAGACTTTACGGTAGTATTATTTTCATCAGATATACATACTATTATTTGTGACAACAAAGCAATTTCAATATTTTCTTAAGATTATCTTTTACCAATTTGGGAGCTTCTTAAAGAACAAAAACAACATCCATCGTACAGTATAGCCCTCGTTTCAACGGGGTGGCTGGACATATAAGAAAATTTTATTTAAAATCACTAATTATAATTGCAATTGTAATCTCATTTCAACGGATTTTATGTTTTCTAATAATAATAATAATAATAACAACAACAACAATAATGTTAATGTGTAACAAAGATTTTTGAAACGCGAATTTAATTATAATCCATTAAACAAGGGTTGTATTGCAGTATTATTGTTTTGATTTTTTAGACATTAATATGGAAAATTTCCTTTTAACTTCATAACATCAAATATTATTCCTAATTATTTTTAATTCAATAACAAAACAATTAAGCCCAAAGATTTCCAATGGCATTCCTTCATTATCACATGAAATGAATTCCTTATAAACATTTTAATCACCTTCTATGTGTTAACATTAATACATCAAGAAATACAATTTCATATTTAAAACCAAAGTTTCCAAATACCAGAAGTTAAAAATTATATTTTAATGTTTTCATGTCAGAAATACATTCTTTAAATCATTATCATTTTAAATATCATATATCAAGGTCGGAAACATTCATTTAAAAGATGATGAAAAAGAATATTCCTTCTTAGAAATGTTGATTTGGTATCAAGTGATAATATGAAATTGGACGGGTTTCTTTTCGTAAATCATTTCCGATTTATTTATAATTTTCCGTGATCCATAAAATCACTATTACTATTTTACAGTACCATGATTATCGAAATTATTTTCTCTTCAAGTGACCAACGTTTTTATCAAAAGTTACCTTTTACTTTGATATTATTGTCCTGACAATTAATTAATTAAATCATTGGTTTAGTTTAAATCAAAATAAATCTTATTTGTTCTAATATAATTTCTCTTTTTTAAAATATAAATTTTTTTTAATCATAAACAATACTAATGTAGATATAAATAGTTCATAAAATTCAAAAAATATGGAGGTGGCCAAAAAATGCAACATTTTGAATGTTATCCTTCAAAACATCCAGGACATTTTGGAACCAAATGCAAAACATATAATTGTGAATTGGGTGATGGAGTTGTTAATAAATTGCAAGTCCATTTGGCACATATATTAAAGAAGATATCAAAAAAGATATGTGTGTTGTTGCAGGAAGAGATGGTGTAAGTGAATATTTAGAAAATGAATCATATAAAGCAAATACACAATCACTTACTAATTTTTGGGATAAATATGAGATATTATAGATCATTCAATTTTAAAGGCTTTTGTGATTTGTGGTATCCAGAAATATTTGCAATTCCTGAAATTTCACTTTACCAAATATGTAAAAATTATTATTTTTAAAAATTTTATTAATAGTGATAATAATAGTATTTGGTTGTTTTTTATTAAGTAAAAATAAAAATAAAGATTAAAAATGTTTGGGATTTTTAGAAGTTTCGAAACAGTTTATGAGTTTCATTTTCTAAACCAGTTTAGAACGACTCTAAATCATACCAAGAAAGTGCAAAAATCATACATATCATAAAATTACAATCTCATCCCAGTTTTAGAGAAAATACAATTATAATTCAATGTAAAGTAAATATAATTATATTGTAGTTATATATGTTTATATATAGAATCACCAAAAAAGAACTCTTCCAAAAAGTTGTGGATTGGAAGATGTGCAGACTCCGGACACCTATGAGCCCAGTTGATCCATTCCTGTTCCATATAGTGAAAAATTCTACACTATTCCTATTATAGTTTCAATTTAATTCAATGTAGAGTATGTGTTATGAACAAATTAACCACATTTTTTTCCAAAATTAAATTCACGGATATTTTTAGATTGGAAACAGCTGTAATGTGCTATCATTGTTTGCATCTCAAAATGGAAAATATGTAATGAATGACATATTATTTATTGTATATCAAAAAAACCTTTGATGCAAATGTTACATTTACTAGTTAAATTTTCGAAGAAAATTTTCTTTGATTGGAAAAGCATTCCCCTTGAAAAGGCCATAGCTATAGATGAGTTCTTGTAAAAAGTTTTTAGACAAGAGCTTTGCTTGCGTTCTATGGAAATGAGAAAAGCTCATGGGAGTAAAAGTTTTAAGATAAAGAAGGATCGGAAAAATAAAAGTTATTTTTTTAATACTATGTATTAAATAAACAAATACCCCTTGGTATCTAATCAAATTAGATCACCGCTTTTTTTCTTTACACAATATTATTATATGTGTATCACGTGATAAAATCAATTTCCATATGAAAAGAAAAGGAGGCCCAATAATCACATATAAATATGGGTAATTATTTGTTTTTTATCTTTTTAACTAAATTTAATTTAATAATAAACTATACAACTGCATCGTAAAAAAAAATAATAATAAAAATACGATCATTTCGATTATTATTTTTATTATTTTTTTTTTCTCGTTTCAAAAAAAATGAATTTTCCTTTAACAGAACGCTTAACGGAATTAAACAATGCATTTGAAAAATCTCTTATATCTGATAATGAATATAAAATGATAAGAACCAAATTATTTGATGTGTTTACTAGTGGAAATCTTGTCATTGATAATAGTAATAATAAGAGCAACAATAATTTAGACAGGATTGGAATTGATAGTAATGACAATATTGGTGGTAAGAGTAGCAGTAATAATGTTGATAGCAATAATGTTAGCAATAACATTGCTAGTAATAACGTTAGCAATCATACTAGTAATAATATCACTATACAACAACAACAGCAACAACAACAACGATTATCATCAATAAATAATAATAATAATAATAACAACAACAACAACAACAATAATAATGATATTGATAATAACAATATTGATAATAATGACTTGGATCATCAAAAGACAATCACAAATTCTTCCAATCCTGATTCCTCTAATTCTTCTACTAATAATAATGAATCATTTTTACCAAGTAATCATAATTATAATGAAAACGAAAATGAAGATGAAAAAATACCAGCACCTTTTGAATCTTCTTCATCATTGTCATCATCATTGTCATCATTATCATTGGAAAATAATGACAATGATGATGATATGATACTATCAATTGGTGGAACAACCTCTACTACACTACAACAACCTTTTCCAGAACTATCTCAAAGAAATAAAAGAAGAATATTATCTAGTGGTTCCAAATTCAGAAATAGCCAGAGACCAATCTCTATGGATCCACAATCTTCTTTATCATCATCAGACAAAAGTAATGATAAGCATGCCAATCCAATTTTATCATCTTTATCTATTATTAATCATTCATCATCACATAACAGTCGGCACAATAACAATCAAGAAAATAAAAAACAACCAAAGAAAAGTATGAGTGCAACAAATTTGATGAAACATGCTAAAACAATAAGTTTTGCAATACCAATAAAATCACCATCTACACCACCTACTTTTTCATCATCAACATCTTCTTCTTCTTCTTTGTCATTGTCTTCAAAACAAACAAAAAATCAATTGATTCATTGTATGATGTAATATTAAGAAAAATTCAAATTTAGAAAATAAATAATAAATCATATATCATTATTACTATCATATATATTTTTTAATAACAAAAATTACAAAAATTGCAAATATGCAAATCCAACTTAAAACATATAAAACTAAATCTAAACCATAGAAGGGAAAAAAGGACAGACAGGCCTCTAATAATGGCACTGTAGTAATGACTTTATTTGTTTTAGGGAGATGAAATAAATACCTTCTTTGTCATTAATAAAAGTTTGTTCAACTATTTTAATCATCAGATCATCATCACCACAAAGTATATATTCGATGCAACGTCAACTGAATCATTTTTTAATTGATCTATTTTAGGCACAGAAACTGCATCTATCAATCCCCCTATTATGGTAGTCAGTTATCATGTGTTACTACATCTTGTGATGATTTTGGTAATTATGTCACTTGAAAATAAATACCATAGTAATAGTAATTTATTCACATTCTGATATGAAAAGCATTTTGACATAAAAAGGGCTCTTACAAAAAAATTTTCACATGACAAGAAAATGATTGGATATCATGTTTGCATGATAAATGAATTTATTTATCCATCTGCAATTTTTTGTGTGCATCCTTCCTTTTTTTGAATATAAATATATAATGTTTTAAATAGACATTTTAATCTAATATCTTCTGCACTTTATTTAATAAAAGGAATAAATTACAAATGAGTAGATATACTTAATATTGAAGATATATTGTCATTCTTTCCTGAACTTGTTCCTATTGATAATTTTAAGGTATTTTAATTATTATTATTATTATTATTATTACTATAAATTAAAATAAATAACAAGATTATGATAATTATGATTTCTGATTTTTTATAATAGAGCAAAATATCAGCACTTAAAATAGAAGGCAGCAACAAATAGTAGCAAAAAATAAAAATCAATTGCAATTATTTGAAGATGAGATGAAGACTGACAGTTGTTGTTGATATCGTAATTGTAGTTGATCTGTTTTTCATAATCTATTTTCTTACAAATTTTAGAAACACACTTGATTTTACAATACCTGATGAAATAACAATATAAGTATGATGATAATATCTTCTTACTAAAATCATTTTGCACAAGGTATAATTTGCTCTTCTGTAAATGTGAAATAATGAATCAGGTTTGCATTCTAAATTAATAATAATAGATAATAAATATTAATAATTAATTATTAAAATATAATTAATTTTTAGATTAATTATTTCCAAATTGCCAAATCTTATATATTTCATTCCAATTCCCGATTCCAATTCAAAACACTAACCTATTCATCATGATTAAGCCGCAGCAGTAATGGAGGGAGTACTTATAATCAATAGTTTATAATAAATGTTGTTCTGCGTTGAGAGTTTCATCTTTATGTAGCCATTTTCAAAAATAATGTAATTACTGATGGATGGAGCCTTAACATCTTCATATTTGGCAAAAATAAAAAGTGCAGTAATGCTTAGAAGTTTTGATTTACCATGGAGGCTATACAGGCTGATGAGACCTATCAACTAAGTTGACTGTTAAGAATGTAATAAACGAAATTTATAATGAAATTCAACAAGTCAGTTGTCCTCTTAAATTTTGGTTGGTTTTCCATATAATTATGCTTTGGCATTGTTTCATTTTATCAATCACATAATGTGAAGAGAAATTATTATCCCTTAATATATGATTAATAATAATATTATTATTATTTAACCTTCCTCCAGAAAAAATAGATAAATTATACTCTTAAAACTTTCAAATATCTACTGCATCCATCATAGGATCATGCATTTATGTGAGGTCAATATCATCCCATTCTTGAGCTCTTGTTTTCTTTGCAAGGATCTTTTCTGATCCAGCTTCATAAAGTTCAGATTCAATAGTTGTATATAATACCAGATTAATAACAATATTAGGTTTGTTTTTTAACTATACTATCATTATTACTGATTTGTTGATTTTTTAATTGTTTTTTTTTAACAAGAAAAGCCCATGATTAACATTTATTATAATGTGTTTTTTTTTTTCAAAAATAACTAAAGCTTGGACTAATGGCTTCTAATATTGCTCTATAACACTTGTTCATATAATGCTTCTTCTCTACCTGTTTGTTGCTTTCTTTTTTTTTTAAAAAAAAAGATAGTGCTTGAACTAGTGATTTCTAACATTGCTCTGATAACACTTATTTACGTTTGCTAGTGTCAATAGTGCAGATGTCCAGATTTTAATATTAATTATTAAGTATAATCACGAATTTGTGTTACTGTTTTTTTAGAAATAAATAAAACTGCTCAATTAAAGCTTTCAATGGAATATTCTCTGCACAAAGTTACGACTATTCAAAAAATGGTGTAATTATTTTCCCACATGTTGCTTGATTGATGGTTCAATAAGTGTAAAATACTCTAATCTTTCATATGAATATTACTTTATGAGGATGTTGGTCAATAAGTTTTAGTTACATCATTGTATCATCAGGGGAATCTTGGTCTGACTAATTATTAGCCTTATGTACATGAGGAATGTGAGAATGACTATAGTTTTTGCTCTCAATATCCTGTCATTAATTGATTGATTGCTTGTGCTCCAAGTGATATACATGTTGTTTTTTATTTTCATACCTGCAATTACAAAATATTAATAACAACTTTCCTATCAACTAGGCCAGTTAGTCTCAACCAAACTAGGTGGAGGGTAAGCACAATGCCATTATCATTTTCTTCATGTCTACTTTCTTGAGAAATGTTGAAACACACGTAAAAATAATAAAAACCCCCTTGGAAGGAAACATCCAAAATATACATTCACGTGATCATAGTACTGAACATCAAACTTGTAGTATCCCTACACCAATCACAGAATTCATATTCTTCAATGAACAACTGCCAATTTAACTTCTGTGATAAAATCCTCCACTTTTTTCATAAAGACTTTTAAAACTTTTCACATAGTCTACATAGTAAGTGGATAATTAACTAATTATAATATAATAAATTGATTGGTTAATAATAATATCTTATATAACATTGTCAGCATTTAGTAATTAATATCTACTTTATATGTTCCAAATGAATCCTAATAACAATATTGAGTATAATTTGAAAATCCAATCAATTTTAATTTTAGAGATCAAGATTCCTTAGATATTGTATTCAAAATCCACAATAAAATTCCCATTCTATAACCAGTTAGTTCATTCCTTGGATTTTGTAGTCAAATATATTTGCCACACAATAATGTAATTAACTGAAGATTTTGCATAATTTATGAATATGAGATCGCCAATTTAATTTCTAAACATGCCGGTTGCGCGGAAAAATACACACGATTAATTATATTATGCAATATTACGCAGAATGCATAAAATCATGTCCCTGCTGGTTACTAAAATATGTACCCCTGAAGTTTTTTGAAAAAATTCAAATCAAAAATGTTTATAATATATATTCTTGTTTTGATATTAACGTTTTATTTAATATTTTTAATATTTCACTTAAAATCAAGTATTTCTCATAATTCTAATAAAAATAGAAATGAATTTTTTAATTATTTGAAAATTAACAATGATAAATTTACCACAAATAAACCCTTAATACTTGGATTCTTTCATCCATATTGGTAATTCATTCATAACAAATTTCAGAGCAACAATAATTGATATAATTAATTTAATTAATTAATCAATCAATTAATTAAACTTATATATATATATATACAGTAATTCTGGTGGTGGTGGTGAAAGGGTTTTGTGGACAACTATTCATAGTATCCAAGAAAAAAATTTGAATGTAATATGTGTTGTTTATACAGGAGATGTGGATGTGACAAAGAAAGAAATTTTATCAAAAGTTTTAGTA